CCCCCCCGCGCACGGGGCGCTCGCGCTCCGCCCGGCACTGCTGCAACTTGGCTCGCCGTTCGGCCTCGTACGCCTCATACAGACCCGTGGCCACCCGCATGGAACGGCCCGGGGCCTCGCGCACCAGGTCGGCCAGGGCCCGGGGCAGCAGCTCCACCGGCTTGACCGCGCAGCGGGCGCAGGCCTCCAGCGAGCGGGGGCTGGTCAGCACGTAGCGACTGCCCTCGGCCTCCGGGCAGTCGAAGTTGAACAGGTCGAGGTGCAGCAACGGGGACTGCTCCCGCCGCCCGCCTTCTGCAGAGCACTGGACTTCCGCCTTGCGGGGCACCGCTGCGGAGGCTGAGGCTGAGGCCGCGGGCTGCTGGGCGCCTTGGGCATCAGGGGGTACGGATGCCGCAGCCCCATCTGCTCCTGAGCCTCCAGGCTCAGCTCCAGCCTTCTCCTCTTCAGGCACCGGGTCCACCATGGCTGAGTCCAGTCCTTTGTTGCAGTCTCTGCAAATGACAAGAATGGACATCGTGGAACACAGCTGAGAGAGGTTCCTCCCTCCTCATCCAGCTTCGGTTCCTCCCTCCTCATCCATCTTCCCTCCCTCCCAATTTAATCCGCTTTCGGATTAGGCTCAGAGGCCTGGTGGAAAGTAAATGTAAATACGTAAAACCGAAGCCTGGGAAACCCAGACTGGAGCCCGGGAAAGGGGGAGTCAGGTGCTCAATCTCCGTCAGCCCCGGAATGCGGGCAAAGGGCTGTGGAGAGGTTCCCCTGGCGTCTGGCCCACTAGATGCATTTCTTCCGGCTGCAAGTTAAAATGAAAAGATCAAGGTGCAGCCAGCAGCCAGAGAGGGAGGCGCTGGAGGATTCCCGGGAGGATTAGCCTTATTTGTTTGTCGCTTAGGAGGGCTGCTGGGGAAGCAGCTTTGCAGGAACAAAAAAAGGAAGAGGCCTGTTCATCCCAAAGTGCATTGCTGCAGGACCCCATTTGCCTACGGAAGTTTATGGCTGATTTCCCACTGCCAGAGGAGACCCGGACGCGAGCCCCACGGGTGATGGAAGAAGAGTTGAGAGAAATCCTAAAGGCCCTTTCGGGAGGGGCGATTGATTCTTATTCCTGCCTATCCAACAGGGTTAACTAGGGGCTCTGCCTCCCCTCTGCCCCAACGCCTGGTGTTCGCGGGGGATGGAGAATGCGCCTAGATCCTGCCAGATGCACCGGTTCTCCTCCAAGTCTGAGTGTGCGGAAGGTAGCATCCACTGCAGTCAGTCTTAGACACCCGCCCGGATGCCACCGAGTTCTTCCACCGCATCCCAGCGGGGCCGGCTTCTGGAGCTCGGCGAGCCGGGGCGCGCCCGTGCCCCAAGCTCCCGGGGCCCCTGCCGGGG